AAAAAAAAAAAAGCCTCAATTGTAACTTTCTTTTCCAATGCAAACTATGTAATAGAAGGTATCACAAATACTATTTTAGAGTAAATCGTCATAACATTGTGTTACAATAGACCATTTTTTGTGTTACAATTGAGGGGGTCTCTTAACCTTTTTATTTTCATTTACTTTTTTATTATTATTATTTTAATGTCTATTTTTTTTGGAATGTCAGAGGAGCCGCAAGCCGGGATTTTCTTAGGAATGGTCGTGAACTCATTCACTGTCATAAATCAAAAGCTTTTATCATTGTTGAACCACAAATTAGTGGTGTTACCATTGACAATCAGATAAAGCATTTAGGCTTTGATTGTGTTACAAAAGAGGAAGCACAAGGTTTTTCTAGAGGAATATGGGTCCTTTGGAATAGATCCGTAGGTGATGTTACACTCATTGAAAAGAATTCTCAAATCATCACTGTCAAGATTAAGAAACCACATGTAGAACCGTGGGCTTTCTCCGCTGTTTATGCTAGTCCACAACCAGCCATTCGAGACCAACTCTGGGATTACCTCACTAATTTTGATAAGCTAGATAATTTCCCATGGCTTTAATGGGAGATTTTAACCAGGTTGTTTCTCTAGATGAGAGGTTTAGTGGACAGAGTGGGCATATTAAAGTGCTGGATGTCATGGATATAAGAAAGCTCATGGATTTGGGTGCTACTGGAACTCGTTTCACCTGGACCAATAATCAACAAGAGAGCCATTTGGTTTTGAAAAGATTGGATAAAGCTTTAGCAAATGTGGAGTGGCGTATGTTATTTCCTAAAACTATAATACGTAATCTCCCAAGGACTCATGGTGATCATTGCCTCATCCTACTTGATTTCTTGGGTATTCCAATGTTGCATAGGGCATTAAGGTGAAGTTGCTTGGATGACTCACCCAGATTTAAAGAATTTAATCCGATATAACTGACGGCCAAATGAATCAATTCATACAGCATTGCAAATGTTCACTACTTTTGTTAAAAGATGGAATTCGAACACATTTGGAAATATTTACAAAAGAAAAAGGACCCTTGCGCGGTTAGTAGGAGCGCAAAAAGCTATTAAGCATTACCCGCGTGCTTCACTATTAGATTTGGAGAATAGATTAATTTGAAACTATAACAATTTATTACAACAGGAAGAGATACTTTGGCTCCAAAAATCTAGAGCTTAGTGGGTCAAATTTGGTGATCGGAACACAAAATATTTTCATGCAATAGTTATTATGAAACGACGAATGAGTAGAATTGCATCTCTTATGAGAGTAGATGACATGTGGTGTATAGATCCTAATGAATTAAAAGAAATGGTGTTTAACCATTTTCGAGCCCTTTACCAAGAAACCTCCATTATTGATGATCCTAATATTACTTTTAGTTTTCCATGAGAAGGGAAGTTGACTGAGCAACAAGTTTTGTTTGTCATTAGTCCTGTTAATGAAGATGATGTCCAAAGAGCCATTATGTCTATGGATCCCTTTAAAGCACCAGAAAGTGATGGGTTTCAAGCCTACTTTTATCAGAACAATTGGGAGGTAATGGGCCCTAGTATATGCAATTTTGTCAAGCCAGCCTTTCAAACTAGTTGTTTTGATGAGGAACTTAATGAGACTCTATTATGCATTATTCCCAAGATTGATCAACCTGAAAGACTCAATCACTTGAGACCAATTAGTCTGTGTAATGTGGTGGTTAAAATAATCACTAAAATCATGGTGAACAGGATTAGGCCTTTACTTACAACCATTGTTAGTCCTACATAGAGTTCTTTCCTTCCAGGCAGAGGCTGTAATGATAATATTCTTGTGGTCTAGAAGGTTATGCACTCTCTCAAGAAGTGTCTAGAAATGGTGGGCAATTTTATAATGAAGATCGACCTGGAAAAAGCATATGATTGTATTGATTATGCATTTTTAAGATGGGTGCTACAAGATATTGGATTCCTTAGTACATGGATTTCACTCATCATGTTTTGTATCACTTCTTCAAAACTCTCCTTGCTGTGGAATGGTGAGAAGACAGAGAGCTTTGTGCCAAAATGTGGTTTGTGTTAGGGGGATCCTTTATCCCCTTATTTATTTGTACTTTGCCATGAAAGATTATCTCACCTAATAGAATTTTCTACTAATGCAAAGCACTGACTTCCTTTCAAGTTAACTCGTAGATGACCTTACTTAACACATTTGTTTTTTGCTAATGATTTAATTTTGTTC